ACTGGGATTACAGGCGTGAGCCACGGCGCCCGGCAGAATCTCTATTTTCATCTACCCTGCCTAGTTCCTTTTCGATACTCAACCAGAGCAAATAAGAAGTCAATAGTTGTAAAGTTCTATCTATTAATCTGGATATCCAAATTCTTGTCTTCTCGCCATTCATCTTTCAATCTGTAAGTGTCAGAGACTTCTAGGAAATTTCTACCATCTGGCATATTTCTCAGATACAGAAGAAAATGTAATAAAAACATATTTTAAATGGATAATTCACAGGTTTTTTTTGATAAAAAGTTTGACTGACACAAATGTGTATTTTTGGAAAAACCGTGGTTGATAAATGTTTCAAATTCCTAAAATAGACTTCAATTTCACTTCTCTCACCACTTAAAAATTGGTTTTAATATGTTTAGCTTTGCTTTATCTCATATATTTCAATAATATATTAGGAAGTATTTGGGGGGAATTTTATCAGCACTCAAGCAACTACTGAACAGGCAGAATCACATCTTGGGAAACTGATTAGCTGTCCTTTCAAGAAAACTTCTGATACTTAGTAATGCATCTTCTGTATTGGCAATTTCCAAGATTTTCCTGGGGAATCACACTGAAGCTTGAGAGAAGAAAAAAAAAATTTACCAGGGATAGTGTTAACATCAAACAAAATCTAAATATTACCTGTAAATAAGAATAACAGTCCAATCATACCTCTTTTTCCCTACAAAGTAAAAGTCACTACCAAATAACATTTATGAGAATTCAGTTTCATCTGGTAACTAATACACTCCTAAATGACTCAAGAATGTACCAAAAAAATTAATAACAGTAATAGTCAGAGTTCTTGGTTGCAAGCAACAGAAACCAAATCTCACTATCTTAAGCAAAAAAGGGCTCTGCTGGAAGGGTATTATTAGTGGTTCATGAAATCCACACGTGGCTGAACCATTAGACTTGGAAAACAGACAGGCATCAAGGGAGCTTTGGAGGCAAAGGTCTCACCACAACAGTCTGATCCACAAGCAGCTACTGCAACTGACACATCTTTCCACTAAAGTCTCTTTGCTTAAGATGGCCAGAGAGAGTTTCTGTTGCTTTGGCCAAGAAAATTTACTGCTACAGAATTTGTATAAAGTGAGACTCTTTGAAGAAAAGCTGGTCCCACTCTTTTGAGGAATTTCATTTCTCAGTATGATCTCCATTCCCATCCACTTTCCTCTTTTTGCTCAAGGCACACTAAACTTGGGATCTACTTTTTATTTCCACTCTTTTCCCAAGTAGTCCCCGCTTCCCGAAGTTCCATTCTCCCTTCTCTGTCTGCTAATTATCTACATATTCTTTAAACCTAAATTGAATGTCACTATTCTGTGAATTCTTTCCTGACTGTATAAATAATCACTTTTCCTATCAAAGTTTACTCACTAGTCTAGAACTTCTAATGCTCTATTTTAATTGTATTTGTGTAACTATCTAACTTTTACATGACAGTGAATTTCTTGAGGACTATATCTGACACACAGTGATTGGCATATGATAACTATTTAATAAGTAGTTACTAAATTTTAAAAATAGAAAGAAAACCAAACAATGAGTTTCTCAGCATTTACAAGGTACTGTCTTTGCCTTCTTTTTTTTTTTTTTTTGAGACAGAGTCTCACTCTGTCGCTCTGTTGCCCAGGCTGCAGTGCAGTGGTGTGATCTTGGGCCCCTGCAACCTCCCTGTAACCTCGCAACCTCTGCCACCCAGGCTCAAGCAATTCTTCTGCCTTAGTCTCCCAAGTGGCTGGGATTACGGGCGCCCGCCACCACACCCAGTTAATTTTTCTATTTTTAGTAGAAATGGGGTTTCACCATGTTGGCCAGCCTGGTCTTGAGCTCCTGACCTCAGGTGACACTCCTGCCTTGGCCTCCCAAAGTGCTGGGATTACAGGCATGAGCCACTACATTCAGCCATTTTACCTTTCTACTTATTTCAATATAATTGAGCCTTCCACAAACTGGCCCTATCCTCATTATACATTTTCTGTTTGTTGCTTTTTACCTTGTACTAGTCCTCTATAAGTCAAATTAGATTCCTTTATGATCCCTTGCAGTGTATGATATTTTCTACTTCAACTAATTATTAATATGTTCCATCATAATGCAAGTTCTAAAAGAGCTGTTCCTCCAATAAAAGTAGAGTAGGTAATTCAGACTAACCATTCTGGCTGAGAAAAAAAATGGATAAATTATTCAAGGCAATTGTCTGAAGTCATCAGAGAGTCACCAAGGCAAATGAAGAATGACGAGGCCAAGTTATGATAGAATAAAACCGAGAAAGGTGAGCTGAGCATTTAGTGCCGCTTTTCCCAATGTGTGGGGTTTCTAAACAGAAGGGTCCATGGATTAAATTCAAGAGATCCACATGCTTGGATGGGGAATTTTTTTTTTTAGATGGAGTCTCGCTATGTTGCCCAGGCTGGAGTGCAGTGGCGTGATCTTGGCGCACTGCAAGTTCCACCTCACGGTTTCACGCCATTCTCCTGCCTCAGCCTCCCGAGAGGCTGGGAGTACAGGTGCCTGCCACCACACCCGGCTAATTTTTTTTGTATTTTTAGTAGAGACAGGGTTTCACCCTGTTAGCCAGATGGTCTCGATTTCCTGACCTCATGATCTGCCTGCCTCGGCCTCCCAAAGTGCTGGGAGGCATGAGCCAGGGAAATTTTTATATGTTTATTTTTACTAACCTCTAACTGAAATTTGGCATTTCCTTCTATTATGAGTATAAACATAGAATTAACAGTACCTGTGACTCTTTCAGTAATAGAAATCTCAGATATTGGCTAGGCACAGTGGTTCACACCTGCAATTCCGGCACTTTAGGAGGCTGAGGCGGGAGGATGACTTGAAGACTGGAGTTTGAGAGCCGCCTGGGCAATACAGGAAAACCAAATCTTTACAAAAAACTTTAAAATGAAAAAAAAAAGAAACCTCAGATATTTTCATATAACATTACTGTCATACCAGATATCTCACAATATCATTTATACTCATCATCACTTCAGAAATAAGGTATTATTATACCCACTGGTAGCTCTAGGGGCCTCTGCCAGTTCTGGAAGATTCAACTGATAAACTAAGCAGTTAATAATTTTGAATTAATGTTAAATTCCTGGGTTTTCAAATGCTGTTAGGGCTTATAGACAAAAAATTAGAGTTGGCTGGGTATGGTGGCTCACGCCTGTAATCCCAGCACTTTGGGAGGCCAAGGCGGGCAGATCACAAGGTCAGGAGTTCTAGACCAGCCTGGCCAGCATGGTGAAATCCCGTCTCTACTAAAAAAATATAAAAAATTAGCCCGGCATGGTGGCGCACACCTGTAATCCCAGCTACTCAGGAGGCTGAGGCAGGAGAATCACTTGAACCCAGGAGGCAGAGGTTGCAGTAAGCCAAGATCATGCCACTGTACTCCAGCCTGGGCAACAGAGTGAGACTCAGTCTCAAAAAAAAAAAAAAAAAAAATTAGAGTTCAGGACCCACCCAGGTTGAGGGGTGGGACTCTGGTAAACCCCTAAGGCTCTTTTGGCACTCCTAAGTGCTTAACTGAAAATTAGCCCTCCCTGATATGTAAATCTATATTCAAATCCTTTCAAACCCTCATGGGATTGAGGTAATCCAGGATTGCTAGTGCCCAGGCCATCTGCCAGAAGCAAATATAAATCCCCTCCGAAGAAAGATAGCATCATTCTGGGCCTCACATTATCTGTATGGTTTTTCAAACACAATTTACAGAACTCAACTAGAGAAAAAAAAAGTATAACACAAGATAAGATAATGGAGTAAAAAAAAAAAATGAAGGGATAGGACAGAAAACAGAAACAGACCCACAGGGAATCCAGATAATAAATTATGGACTTTGTAATAACCATGCTTTATTATTTCCTGTGTTCAAGCAAAGACAGACAAGATTTAGCAAGGAAACAAACAAAAACTGAATAAAAATACTTGAGCTAAAAAAATACAATAATTAGAATTAGGAACTCAGTAGATGGGTTTAATAGTAAATTACACAGAAATGAAGAGAGAATTAATGACCTGGAAAATAGATGAGAAGAAAATATCCAGAATAAAGCATAAACTACAAAATGATGGGCTGGGCATGGTGTCTCATGCCTGTAATCCCAGCACTTTGGGAAGCTGAGGCGGGCAGATCACTTGAGGTCAGGAGTTTGAGACCAGCCTGCCCAACATGGTGAAACTCCATCTCTACTAAAAACACAAATTAGCCAGCTGCAGTGGTGGGCACCTGTAATCTCAGCTACTCAGGAGGCTGAGGCAGGAGAATCACTTGAACCTGGGAGGCGGAGCGGGTTGAATCTGGGAGGCAAACTTGGGTTGCAATGAGCCGAGATCATGCTACTGCATTCCAGCCTGGGTGACAGAGTGAGACTCTGTCTCAAACACACACACACACACACACACACACACACACACACACAAAATGATAGAAAATGCGAAAAAGAGCATAAGAGACAGAGAATACCATGAAAAGGTCTAATGTTTGTATAATTAGAATACCAATAGGAGTAAAGAGAGAGCAGAGGCCAGTTGTGTTGGCTCATGTCTGTAATCCCAGCACTTTGGGAAGGCGAGGCAGGAGGATCACTTGAGCCCAGGAGTTTGAGGCCAGTCTGGGCAACATGGCAAGACTCTATCTCTAACAACAACAACAAAAAAATTAGCTGACTGTGGTGGCATGCAACTGTGGTTCCAGCCATTTGGGAGGCTGAGTGAGGCAAGAGGATTGCCTGGGGGGTTGAGGCTGCAGTAAGCCATGACTGCACCACTACACTCCAATGTGGGTGACAGACAAAGATCCTGCCTCAAAACAAAGAGACAGAGACAGAGAGAGAGAGTAGAACAGAAGTAAATCTGAAGAGCTAATTATTGAGAATTTTCCAAGACTGATAAATGATATCAAGCTACAGGTTCAAGAAGCACTAAGAACACCAAATATAAAGAAAAACAAACCTAGACACATTACACTAAAACTATCAAAAACTAAAGACCAAGCAGAAATATCCAAAAACCATCCAGAGATTTAAAAAAAGATTATTTTCAAAGAAGCAAGAATAAAACTGAGAGCAACTTCTCAGCAAAGTCAGTAGAAACCAAAAGATAATGGAATGGTAAAACAGCTGCCAACCTAGAATTTATCTCAGGAAAAAACTGCCCTTCAAAAATGAAGGTGAAAATTTAAATAAGACCTATGATTAGTGAATAGTTTTAAATTAATGTTAAGTCCTTGATTTTGGCAATTATACTATGGATACAGGAAATGTTAACATTAGTAGAAGCTGTATGAAATGGATGTGGGAACTCCATATACAGACTTTTTTTAAACTTCGTATAAGTCTAAAATAATTCACACACATTCTAAAAAGGTAAAATAGAGACAGTTTCAGAATGGAAGCTCCATAGAGTTGCAATTTCTGGTCTGTTTTTTTCACTGCTATATCCCTAGTATCTAGAACACTGACTAAGACATAGGCACTCAGTTAATATACATTGAATGAAGGAGTGAACAACAGTAGTAGCAGCAGCTACCAATTAATTCAACACTTACTATATCTTAAGTGGAATACCAAGCACTTTACTTTCATTAACTCATTTAATCATTCCAACAATTATGTAACATGCATTTTATATTTTATATATGAGTCTCCCTATTTTATAGACGAGGTAAGCAATCTGCTCAAGATCTCATACCAGAAAGTAGTAGGCCCTCTAACACAGACCTGTCTGACTCCAAAGTCCATGTTCTTAACCACTATGTTATGGTGCTTTCATGTCACAAAATATGTCTCCTTTCTGTTTTGTTTATCCAAACTCTACCTACCTTTCCAAATCAAGACAAACTCCTCTATAATGACTTAACTACTTTTACTTAACTAATAGTCATTATTTTTTCTTACTGTCAGTTCTCAGTGTACTAGGCCATATAACTGAATGCCATTATATAAGGTCTTGTATTGTTCTGTAATTGTTTGTTATCCAATGAGTTTTTATCTCTTTAACCAGATTACATTTCACAGGGAAGTGACCATATCTTATATTCCTATTAATATAGAGCACATTTGAAGCTCTATAACAATACTTAATATTTTTGAATATTTTTGTAAAGGGATGAAGAAAAACATTTCCATGCAAGAAACAGCATTTTTGAATGCTTTAGTGATCAGGCTTACAAGGTCTAAGATTCTAAACATCAAATTTGACTCACACACACACAAAAAACAAACACTACCTTAAAAAGTTTTTACATCAAATTTTCTATAGTATCTCTTTTTCCTTATGACATGTTAGGGGATGTTCAGGGTAATTTGGACATAGCAGTACAAGTTCTCCTGGTTAAACCTTCTTGAGAAGGTATATAGATTGCGTAGAAGGTAAAATATGAGAGTGTGCAGATGAACAATTATCCCCACACATGTAAGCTGCAGTTTGTCTGGTGTAAATATACTCTCCCTGCCTGGAACTGCCTGTGTAATGTTCTCTCTTTGGGCTCTGTGGTTTCTCAATACATTCCAACTGTTCAGAGGCTGGAGCTTGGCTCTGCAAGCACAGATAAACAGCTTCCTGGAGCAGGCTGCCAGCATGAGGAGCAATGACCTCAGCAGAGAAAGTCTGCTTTTCATTACCCTGAGCACATCACTGTGCTGCTAGAGCTAAGAGTGGGAACAACACAAGTTGGATAGAGTTGACTGACTCAAGTCTCCCATTACACCTTGAGTTTTAAAATTCTAGTATGTAGAGGAAAGGGGGTAAAGACAGGAAGTGAGAAAATGGCATATGCAAAGAAAACAAAGATAGAAAAACTTTCTTAGGCTATTCTGTGAATGAACTAAAGTCAGATGAGTGGAGTGGCTAAGAGTCATGCAGGCAATCATTGAATATTTTAATCTCCAAAAATGTACACAAAATACAGGGCAAGCAAGAAGTGTTATAGAAAGTAAGAGAGGCCAGGTACAGTGCTGCATACCTGTAATTTCAACATTTTGGGAGGCTGAGGCAGGAGGATAACATGAGCCCAGGGGTTCAAGACCAGCTTGAGCAACAAAATGAGACCCCTGTCTCTACAAAAAAGAAAAAAAAAAGTTAGCTGGGTATGGTGGCACACACCTGTGATCATAGCTACATGGGAAGCTGAGGTAGGAGGATTACTCGAGCCCAGGAGGTTAAGGCTGCAGTGAGCCATGTTTGCGCCACAGCACTCCAGCCTGGGTGACAGAGTGAGACCCAATCTCAAAACAAACAAACAAACAAACAAACAAAACAGCAACAACCACCAAAAAAAAACATACAAAAGAGAGACTAAAAAGTCCTCAAGATCTTCAACTCTGATGCCATTTACAGAGAGAAAAGGAAGACTATCCAGAGCCACAGAGATGCAAAATCCCAGAAAAGTGGAGCTTAAGGAGAACAACACATAATGAAGATGAATTATATATAGCCAGACATCTTGTATGTGTCATTTCATGTGATTTGCATAACAACCCTAGAATATAGGTATTATCATCCCTAGCGAAAATCTAGACCTAGAAAATTATAATACAAGGACATCAACAAAGACATTTGTTGTTGATATTATTTAATGACAAAGGGATGATTTCAAGTCTGCTTCTACAGCCACCCAGGAAACAATGCTTTTCCCAAACACCTCTCATTGTAGTATTATCTACTGTTGCAGCCCCAGAACTCAGCAATACTAGAACTGTGTCCTAAAAGAAATGTGCACACTTGTGTCACTTTCTGATAAGACAATTTCTGCAGTGCTGGTAGCATTGCATCTGATAGTTGAAGAAGGGAACCACAATCATGTCCTCAGACAAGAAATTGGTTAGATATGACCCCTCCTGAAGGATCCTGAGAGACAATTTGTTTTTTGGAGAAGTCATTGACTATAAAGATGCACCTGCAAGGGGCCCGGGAGCTGAGAGACAGACAAACATCTTAGCAAATTCTAAAAGCAGAGCGAAGCTTCATTTGACTTTCATTTCACTTTTCTCAGGGAAGAAGAACCTTTGTGTTACTGCCAAAATCCTAACTGTCCTTCCTTCCTCTCTATCCCCTCCACCTCCATGCCAGCTCATTAAAGATCTTCTGGTTAAAGGTGCCAAATTGTGTCATTCTTTCCTACTCTAGTGCCAAGCTTGTGCCACTAGTTCCACAGATTGATCTGCTGGAGTTCTGAGCAAATTATGGAAGAAATTAAAAGCACTGAAAATTTTAAATTGTTCTGTTGTTGGTGAAGTAAAGCTTTTTAAACTTCTTCTTCTTGTAGAGACAGGGGTCTCATTGTGTTGCCCAGGCTGGTCTCAAACTCCTGGCCTCAAGTGATCTTCCCACCTTGGCTTCGCAAAGTGTTGGGATTATAGGTGTGAGTCACTACAACTGGCTTAGTTTCTTAACTTCTGATGACTGACTTTACATTGCTAATGGCATGACACTTGTTAATTCAGACTTGTGTGTATGTATTTGATTGCCAGAGGAGTATTCAGGGAATTATCAGAGTGGTGGTATGAAGGAATATCAGGGCTTGAACCAAATAAAGATCCTTTATATTATTTATAGATTGAAATAAATCAAGTTATTTCTCTAAGGGGAGATATTTTAATATAAAAAATCAGACCTAAATTTTATACTAGCTAGCTGCAAAAGCAGCTCCCATGAAAACAGAAATAATATCATTGGGGCTTGAGAACACTTCAGCCAAGGATGGTGTTTTCTTCATTTCCTCTTATTGAATGGTTTCATAACAGATAAGTTTCTCCTAACTTGAAGAAGGCAGGGGGTGGGGGGAGTAAGGTCTTTCCTGACAGGGAGAATCTGGGCCCAATTATTACTTCTGTAACCTCTGACTCTGACTTCCAAATGAGTCAAGGGACCAGTGGGCTGTGAAATAGCTTCCTCCATTACCAGGTCAAGTGCTGCTGGATAGTTTCCTGTAACCATAACACAAAGGAACTGAAGAAGTGAGATGGATTCTACAAAAACAGGCAACTTCTTGCATCCTCAATGACCCTGGATTTTTAAGTTTCAAAACAGATTTTGGTGACTCTTAACTCACCACTATGGCTTCCTGCAGTCTTTATGCTATAGCATATCTCTAGTAATATAGAAAAGAGCCAGAATCCTCTATAGATTTGGTTCTGTGATGGCCTAACAGAGGTGCCTGGCCGAGTAACAGTGGGGATAGGGTTGCTTTAACTGAAGGCAAATCTATTCCTGACAATTATCTGAGTCTGTGGGAATCCAGATGCTGACAATGAGAAATGGGTAATTTTTCTGTTACAATGTGTCAACTCCGGCTAAGAACTGAACTATGGAAAAAAGGCAGGGGAGGGGATGGGTACAGGGGGAAGCATTACCCCTTTTGAAGAAGTCTATAATAGGATTAGTCACCATTACTTCACCACACCACATTTTGGCTCAATTTACAAAAATAAGTAGAGAAAACATGAGCAGAAATGGCCCAAAGAAGTCTCAAGTCCATCTCTCATTCAAAGCTACAAGCCTGGAAATCAGTGAAGTCTTGGTTTGTTCTGATGTGCTTCTTGTTGGCTCACACCTGCTCCTCTGTTACCACGGACACAAGAAGAACCCCAAACAACACTACTTAAACTCTAGATGGTGAATGATCCTAAAAAAATCTGTCACCTTTAGAATGAATGTTTATACCCTGATTGTTCTAGATTATGTAGGAAAGAAGTGGGTCATCTTTTCATAGGGTTTAGAGTAACTGTCTGAAAAAACAAAAAAAGAAACGATATGTATTTTATAATCATGGATCGTTTTCATTAGAGTTACATTTTAAGTTATTTAGGAATATGCACTATTACCTATGTAACAAACCTGCATGCTCTGCACATGTATCCCAGAACTTAAAAGGAAAAAAAGAAAAAAAATGGATATGCACTATTGGAATCTCTTTTTTTCTCCAAGGATGAATTAATGAAGTTCATATTTTATGGATTTATTTGAATCAAAA